TTCTAACGATACATGTCAGGCATATATATGAGCATGTTTAAAGTTCACTTTTCTCTGGAAGATCAAATTTTTCAAAAATCTAAGGGTCATTCCCCAATCCAAGCACAGACCCTATCCCCAAGCTGACACTTTCTATCCCTTCATCTTGCTTTATTTTTCCTGTTTACCTATCTCTCTGCCCCAAGTAGAACATACACAAATAGCTAACACTTACATGGCACTTCCTATGTACCCACCACTGCTCTAAGAAATTTGTCCATATTAATTCATGTAATGTTCAGAAACATCCCATTTTACAGGTGAGGATTTTACAGGTTGCACTTTCTTTTGCCTTGCCCTTATCTAGCATGGAGCCCTGGACCTACTAGATGGTCAGTAAATACGTATAATGACAGGATGGTGTCCAAGAAATTACACTTGACTGAATCAAAAGATGGATAAAGAAGCTGATTAGAGGCTAAGTAATTTGTTAAGGGCCACAGAGGTAAAATGCTAAAACCCACATATGTACAACTCCAAAGCTTAGCTTTTGCAAACCATGCTGTTCTCTCTGTCTCTCTGTCTCTCTCTCTGTCTCTCTCCCTCTCTCTCTCTCTCTCTCTCTACCTTTTTAAACTTATGCCACATAGTAACAGCTGTCATGATAATGACTATGACATGAAATATAGACTGTACATTGAAATACAGCTTCCAACTAAGGGCTTTGAAATTAAAGTAAAACCGGTAAATTAAACATTGAGTTTTATAAACAAAAGCTTTACTGGCTGGAAGTTATTTTTGACTTTTGCAGAACTAATAAGAATGTCATGAAAAATAAAAACTTCTCATTTTAGAGATTCATTCATTTAACAAGTATTTGTTGAACACCTGCTACATGCCTTGTACTGGGCTAGCTGCTGGAAGTACAACAATGGTAAGACAAACATGGCCTCTGCCCTCTCTCACACAGAGAGTCTCTCACAGAGAGATAGTCCAGAGGAAGTAGTGAAAAAATAATCAGGCAACACACAAAGAATGATTGGGGAGTGAGGGCAGGGGGAGAGGGTGAAAAAAAGGAGTCCATCCTAGGCAGTGAGCAACAGGTGAGATTACCACACACAGGAGACAATGTGGCATGCTCTGGGAACAAATAAAATGGAATCGCTGATAGATGCCCTAACTAAGGATTAGATTAGGGTAATGAAAAATCTTTGCAGGACTTTAAGCAGGAAAGGGAAATGCCCTTATATGCTTTTTAAAAAGATCGGTCTAACAGTGGTGGGGAAGATAGGTTAGACAGAACCAGACCAAAATCAGGGAAGCCAGGGCGTTGAAATTAACAAAGGGACTGGTGGGAATTATAAAATACTAAGAGCGGAGATGGTGATGTGGGAACTGATTCAACATTTATTAAGAAGGTATAGCCTTGATAATTGTTGGAGATGCAGAGGAAAAGGCAGTTAAGTGTCAAGGATGTTGTCCAGGGTGTGAATTTTGATAACTGAATGGATGATAGCGCCCCAAACAGGGAATCCAAGGGCAGTAGCAGTCTGGTGAGGGTGGGTGGGGGGAGCTGGCAGTGAGATTTTGGCGCCTGGTGCTTAGTGGAGCAGGCTAGGCTCAAGGTGGAGGCTTTCTAGGTATCAACAGACCAGGGGTAGCAGGAAAGCAGAGGGCCTGAATCAGAGCGGCACCACTTAAAGGGAAGGCAGAAAAGCGACGCCCATAGAGGAGATTAAGAACTAGCCTCCAGAGGCGTCTGAGCAGATTGGAAGGGACACACTCAGGCTCCATTTAACTTTTATCGAAATGGAAGCGCCATCAAACATCGTCGATGGCACTTTCCCACCATCCATCCGTCCAACACAAACCCATCTGCTTTGAGAAGACTGGCTCACGCAGTGACTCACCTACCTAAGACAGCCCACACTCTCTGCCTCTGCCTCTCGCTGAGTGAAGCTGGCTCCTGCGGCTTCAGGACCGCTCCGCAGGGAGCTGGAGGCCTCTCCCCGGAGACCCTGCCTGAAACCGCGCGCCGGCACAGCGCAGCACGGCTCCCGCCCCACTCACCGCGCCGGAGGGACGGTCCCTCCTTCAAGCCAATCTCCAAATCGTCCTTCTCATCGTCCCTGCTACGGTCACCCGCTGCTCCAGCTCGGGGGTCCCGTGCAGTCTCAGCCAGTCCCGCCGTCCCTCCAGTCCACTCCTGGTCCCCTCAACCTCCGGGGCACAGCGACCAGCTGCACCGTCGGTTTTTCAGTCAAATCCTCCTTCGGGCTACCAACCGGCGCTGGCTGAGCCAATGCCGACGCTTCTTCCTCCAACCCCGGGCACCTCAGCCAATAGAGAACGGCCATGCTGCAAAGTGCACAGCGCCTAGCGACAGATGACGCCTGCCACAGAGTGGCCATAGCAACCAGAGAACGGGCTGGGTCCAGCCCGCTGCAAGCACGAAAGGAGGGAGAAGGTGCCTTAAAGCTGTGCTGCAGCCACTTCGCCCGGCCACAGAGCTACCACAGGTCTCCTAAACACCGTAAAGTCTTCTGGACTTGGGGTGCCCAAACTTTGGCGGGAAAGAACAGGTTCATCCTGGGGTGTTTAACTTCAAGAATTGCAGAGGGCTAAAATTCAAATCAATTCTCTTTCAAAGATTTAACTTCATAAGAAATCAATGCAACATGCTAAATAGCTTTCATATGGTATGAAAACATTTTTCAGTTGCTCAAGAGCACTGCATGATGCTGCGAAAATAAGAGTGACCTGGGATTCAAGAGATGTATGGCACACCTATCACCGGATTGTTCTGTTGTCTTGGGCAAGTCATTTCACCTTTTGTAAAATTCCGAAGCTTCTTTAAAAATTGTGAATTGCATTAAAGCTTTAAAAAGATACTTGACATTATGGAGCTTTAAAAAGATCGAAAAATACCAAATTTTATGCCGGGCACTATCCAAATTTGTTCCTCATTTTATTTCACTTACTCTTTCACATCAGCTGATAGTCATTATTTTATCATAATTTAGATGTAAAATGGAGGCACAAGAAGTTGCCTAAGTAGTCCATCATGGCAGAGCCAGTAAGTGATGAAGTCTAGAGCCCAGTCTTAACCACAATTATGGTCCCATGACAATTTCTTCTAGTACAGAACTCTACTTAATACCATCTTAATATCACTCTAAATGCCCATGTGTGTCAACCTGGTGATTAAATCTCCCAAAACTTGATTTTAAATGAATACAGTGAACCCTTCCCTTATGCTCCTCTACTTTGAATAATAAGTAAGCCCAATAGGATAACAATGCTTGGGTCTGTGTAATTGAAAGCATTTTTTTTAATTAAAAAAAGTCCTATTTCAGAAATGTAAAAAAGTGAGATGAAAGCCAAACTCAGGTAAATACAGCAGAACTAATTAAACCTCAGAAAACATAAAACCATCAGGATTAATGTCACGAATCAAAAAACAAAAAGGTGACGGGGCAGAAAGACTTATGCCGAGTAGAAAAAGTATTCTATACATGATTCTAAATATTAAGCAGTGAGGCCACTGAACATCTAATCTTCATCAGAATAGCAACCGTGCTTCCCATCTTTCTACTTCTCAGCAAAACAGTCTTAAACTAATGTTTGGGCCTTCCCTGAAAATAACTGAAAGTTGCATAGAAGACAGAAGTGACATGAATGACACCGACTCTAGAAGAGAGGTTCACTATCATCTGCAAATGCTAAGTCCATATTGTGCTCTGTAATGTGATAAAGGTATGGTATATAAGACCGCAAAGGGGTCTTACGGAAGCTTATACAGCTTATGTAGCAGGGCTTAAAATTGTCAAGACCTAACACTCCTCTTTTTGTATTCTAATACCCCTTTTACTATTTTGAAATGAATGATGCATAGATAATGTAAATTATACAGTTCAAAAGTAAAACAGTACAATGTCCCAACTATAGCATAAAGAATAAAGGTAACTTAAATATGCATTGAAATAGACATTCAGGATGGACCCAACAAGAAGACAAAACCACTTCCCAAAATTTCTAAAATGCCTCTAGACTAATGGTCTAGGAGAAAGGGATAATTAATCACATACACACTTTAAATGGAGGGGTGAGAATGATCTTACAGATCGAAAGCAGAAGGCTGAGAACAAGTTGAAGTAAAGGCAGAATTTAAATCAGGCTTTGAAAGAATATCATAGAAGCAGAAAGGAAGGTTTTCCAAACAACAGAAATGTTTTCATTTAAAGCATAGAGGTAGGAACGTACAGGTCAACCATGGAAAAAACTGATAGTCAAGAGATCAGATAAGCCTCAATTAGCAAAATCAAACAGCTCAAACAAAAATGAGTGAGAAATTCACTATTTTCCTTTCCTCTTTCTCCCTCTCCTCCTAAAAAATTCTCAGAGTTCTCTGGATTGGAATTATAAATTGACAAAGTATTTTTCCTAAAATAAATGTAAACAAAATTTTCAAATAAAATTTCCAAAAACATAACTACATTTACCCATCTTACTTCCAAATGTTATCAAATTCAAGGTGAGATATCAGAAGCTTTTCAGTGCAGCAAACAGGAGGAAAGTGTTACATACACGCCAGATGGAAAACAATCCAAGACCTGTCCTTTGCTAGTAAGGAAAGAATTCATAATAAAAACAGTCGTTAAAACCAAAAAAGAAAAACATCCCTTGAGTTCACTATTATCATGCAAATCATTACACATCATATAGCAAAATGTCTAAATAAACATGTCTTAAAATAGGGAAAAAATGGAACAGCCTTTTTTAGAGGGCTTTAATTTCACTATTTCTTAACTATCAAACATCATAGCAGAATATACACTATTTTGTTTCATCTTTCTTTCTCACTGTCCTCTTGTCTCTCTCCTACTGAAAAACATGAATATGAGGTGGTAGGAAACAGAAATTACTCATTTTCCTTCATCCCCCACCCCATCTCAAGTTGAAAAAGAGATGCAGCTCTTCTAATAATCAAAGTACAAAGTAAAGACAATAGCCAAAAAACCAATTAAGTAGACTTTTATTGCTCAATTAACTTTAATAACATCTCCAAAAAAATAGTTTTCCTCTAACAATTATGAAACAAATTTGAAAGGCAGGGTCATTCACATTACAGACTCAGTAGAGACTTGTACTTCATATAAATGAAAAATAACAGTTCTACAATTTAAATGTTTAATTTACTTTGGATTTTATTACAAAAAAAATCAGTGTAATTATAAAAGTCATAAAAATTGGAATTGTACTGTGAAATTATACCAAGGTATCAAATATTATATAAATGAACAATAAAATTCAATTTTTGCTTATTTAAACATAGTAAACATTAGAAGACAACCTCCCCCCAGGAAAAAAAAAAAAAAACCTTGAATAATAAAGCAACAAAAGTCACAACAAAAAAAGCAATCAATGTGCAAAAAAAATCAGATTAAAAAAACAAAACAAAACTGGGGTTTAACAATTATTTTAAGTCAAATGTTGAAGTCAATATGTGCTAATTAATTTAATTTTAAAAATGATCTTTAGATGATTCCATTTCCAACTATGTTTTCCTAAAATTGACATTTTACTTTTTGAAAAGTTAGGAAAAAGACTTTACATTAAAATCACCAAATATTGCAATTTGAACACTATTTTAAACTTTGAATATCCTTGAAGTCTTTAAATTTACTCCCTAAAAAATAAATAATTGTTGGAATAAACCAAAAGACATTTCACATATTTTCACTGCATATGATAACAATGATGTGATCTACATAAATAAATTTAAAACATTAAGTTATTTAAAATAAACGTTTGAATTACAATGTTGTATCAATGGCTTACACATCTGAAATCTGAGCACTTTAAAACAGTATTCACATGTTAAACTGTTGAGCACATTTACAGAACTGATGTACATGATATAATCCTTTAAACAAAGCAAGCTCTGGTGTTATACCTCAGTTTCAGCGGACATTTGTCTTTTTATAGGATTTTGAACCTGCCTTTGTGAAAGGTAAAAGTTAGAAAGCTATTATACTCACACAGAAATTTTGAGTATATGGAAGAAACAGAAATGCTTTTTTGGATACAGAAAAACAAAAGTTATAATTTTAAGTGGTAAACAAATCTGCATTATAAATATTATAAATGCATCAGCACATAAAAATTTTGTCCTACACATTTTTACAGAACACTTGGCAAACATGAACACTGGTACACCAAAGCTTTCTTAAACAAGAGATTTAGATTGCTAACACTCTCACACGCATACATAAACACATGCACACACACACACACTCTTCAGAAAGATGATGTGCTTCACTTCGGCATATCTAATATTATTAAAGAATATATAGAATCATCATCCTTTTATCATAAGGAAGTCAGTTCATTATTTTCTCAAAAGCTGCTATTTTAGATTGAAACAGCATTCAGAAGAAACTAAATTTCAGATGGTCAGCATCAGGATTTACTACAGTCTTTGTAAACAGGCATCTATAAATAAATAAAATAGGATGGAAAAAAGAATATCCTGAGGTGGCTCTGTGGCCAGGGTATTCAGTAGCACTAAGCTCCATTCTGGAAATCAAGGCATCTAAGAAAGTGCAGGACTGTTTATTTGAATTTATTTTGTAAATGGAATATGTACAGTTTTAATTATTTTGCACCTTGAGGTAAATCAGTACATAGCAATTACTACTGCTTATATACACCTATTTAAGGCAACATTTAAAAATCAACATGTGCAGTAAATTGTATCTTTCACTGTCTTGCAAATGAATGCTATTCATGATTGTTATTTTTCAAAAATAGTGGAAGAAATATGATAACCACTTAAAACAAGCAGTTAATGACTTAAACATGAGTTACCTTTGCTCTTCAATGGAGTAGTCATATCAGATCATTTTGTAAGTCAAGTAATCAAAAGAAAGCAGAAACCATTAACAATTAGAAGCATGGTAAAAACATTTTGAGAGCAAAGTATTTTGCAAGTTATGGTTTTTCTGGCACTGGATAATTATTATACATAATTAAATAAAATAACAGAGACACTATGATCCCAGGTAGTTTTCAGTTTAAATTTTAAAACCATTTTCTGTAAAATAAGTACAGTTATTAACCCTTTGATGTCCAGACACAAGGAAATGATGTGAGGAAATCCTCTTGTTCAGGTACATCAGGGGAGTTTAAAAACTAGCAGCAAATACTGGGGTCTTTGGAAATGATTATGCTGCTATGAATAAAAAAGAATCACTTCAATGGAAGCTCATAAACAATCATAAGCACCATGGGTAACACTCTATCAATTGCCAACAGAGTCTAACTCTTTTTTAGGCAGTACCAAATGATGTCAGCTATATTTTCTAAAGAAAAGCAGCTACATTTCCAACCTCTTATCTGAGGCAAAAGTTGAATCCCACCATTTTAATTAGAATCTCATGATATGGTCTCAGATGAGGAAATTATGTTAGTTAATATGTAGTTTAGAATGAATTAAAAACACCAGAATTGCTAAAATATCAGCTTTTGGCATTCCTCATGATCCTCTAAAAGATCAGTTCTTTATATTATTGTGTTTAATTATAAATGGTTAGAGAGAGCATTGGAATTTCATTAAAATTTTCACCCTAATATTCATGTTACAATTTTTGATATTTCTGTGGCTTCTCAATATTCTAAATTAGGTTTCTGTAAATTATTTTCTTTCCAAATCAGTTTCATAACCCCATTCATCCAGTCCTACAGGCTTAACAAGAACATTTATTTATTTTATGTGGAGCCAAGAGTAAAAGATGACTAAAAAGATTTGCTAGAAGTTAAAAATACAGCTCAGAAAAGCAAAAACTAACAAATATTAACACCAAACAGGAAGAATGCCATCAATCTGAGCTAAACATAAAATGTCTAATTTCATTTTAAAATACAAACATGGCAGTGCTTTATATCAACGATCTAAAATCTTAACTGCTTCAGATAATGAACATAAATGCAAGTGAGCACCAACTATTTACATTAACAATTTACTCTGTTACCTTTTCAAATGTTTATAGAATATTTGAGCATATCAATTACAATAAATAAAATATTTTAAAATAAAATCACAGGTAACAATCTATTAAATACAATCTACACAATAAAATAACAACAGAAAATGCAAGTGATTCTTAATAAAGTAATACTGATCATAAACCCACACGAGAGAATTCTGACTCCTGATTATTGAATCATACTACTTATAATAGAAAAATAATCAAGAACTTGAGCCTGATACAAACTAAACCAGTAAGACAAAGAGAACAAAGGCAGAAAACACAATGGGAATTATGGGCTCTAAAAGAGTGTAAGGATTCAGAAAAAAAAATTCTACAAAGGCAACAAAAGTTAACTATTGCAAATTGGCATTTTACAGCTTTTAAAATTCATTAAGTTATGACTGGTATGGGTACTCAATTATAAAACCACCTGCAATTTTACTTATCACAATGGAAATATAGATATGAGCTTTAAAATTTTAAAAAATTTTCTAAAACATAAAGGTTAAAAACTATAGTTCTTATTTAGAAAGTTTCCATTGTTCTACATTCACCTCTATGGCCAAAAACATGCCATCATTTTTGAAACATAATAGACATCTACAGAAATGAAACACACACAGAGAAAAGCATGACATGTTACCATTTTTCCCATAGCACTGGCATAAAGACTCCCGTTCTTCCCATAAAGCACTAACAAAAGTGAAATAATATGTAAAAATCTTTAGAAACTCATGTAAAAACTATAAATATATAAAAGTATGTATCACTTAAGGTTGATATGAATTGCAACAGATGAACAAAGTGATTTAAGAAAAGTAGACTGAAAGCATTTCTCCACATTTCTCTATTGTACAATAGAAAAAAAATTTTCCAACAGAATAAATATTTGAATAGTAAGAATCATGTACCTCACTTCAAAGAGACCATTTCACTATATACAAAGTCTCCATGGTGCTCATAACAAACTTCAGACACTACTTAAAAAAAAACAGTAGTCACGCATAAATAGCGTGGCATACAATATTGTTATATAGTGACATGATACACACACATTATATATGTATATATCTATATATCTCTCTATATATAATTTCTCTTGGTTCGATTCTATAATGAAGTTTCAGCATCCAGGTATTTCTTTCTTGGTTCATCTTCAATATTTATTTTCACACTCACAGGTTTTTCAGGGCTATTTAAAGCAAAAAATGAGAATAAAGAATTTTTAAACAAATTATTAGATTCTAAATATGGCCAACACTGAATACTATATTGAGACTTTTGAGATGACTATTAACACTACAAACTTATGATTTCCTATTATAATTTTACTGCTTTATCAGGGAACTTAACTGGAAAGGTAAATTTTAAAAATTCTATTTTTTGGCTGGGCATGGTGGCTTATACCTGTAATCCCAACATTTTGGGAGGCCAAGATAGTAAGCTCACTTGAGGCCAAGAGTTTGAGACCAGTCTGGACAACATAGTGAAACCCTGTCTCTACAAAAAACTTAGAAATTAGCTGGGTGTGGTGGTGCTTGCCTGTAGTCCTAGCTACTTGAGAGCCTGAGACTGGAGGATCTCTTGAGTCTAGATGTTTGAGGTTACAGTGAACTATGACCACACCACTGCATTCCAGTCTGGGCAACAGAGCGAGACCCTGTCTTTCAAAAAAAAAAAAAAAATTCTGTTTTTTAAAAAATTGCATATCTTTGCAATTGAAATTTATGTTTTTCTTATAACTGAAGAAGAGGTTGTTAAAACTGCTCAGTATATGACTATATTGGATTTATTAGTTTTATTTCACGTATGGACAGAATTGTAGCATGTGACCTTTATTTCATTGACAGGTCTACTAATATATGAATTTTTCTTAATATAGGTAAGTGTCAAATGATTTCCTACAAAAGGTAACAAATTTACAAAACTTCTCTCCCCAAATACTGCTCATAAATACAAGAGCAACACACCTATTCTGGATCTTCAAGTTAGTATCAAACACAATGACTCCAGGTATATGGATTTAATGAATTGGTTTAATTATAAAATATGTATATCTGGTTTCTAAAAAATTTTCAAAAGGTATGCCTTCTCCAGACAAACTGAAGGAAAGGTCCCTCAAAACAGTTTTGCTGTTAAACATCATTGCCAAGACATTCTCTTCCTTCCCATGTGATTTTGATTTGCAGCGCAACCCAAATGAAAGGCAGGAGTATAAAAGACACGTTAGTATTATTGTAAGGCCTTTATTTTTATCATAACTATACTGACGAAGAGGGCCAGGGGTGCTGGCAAGATGTGAAAAATTATTAAGAGTATAAAAGAAAATTTAGTAAAATTCTGGCTGCACTGGATGATCCAAAATGACAGAGTTTAACTTCAGAACTTTCAAAGATTAAAGACAGAAGTAAAGAAAGGAAACAGCCTAGCTTAGAAATTATAACTCAGATGATAGAAAAGAGAAACATATGATGATAGAGATCAAGTAGGAAAAATGTTCTAAAAGAGGGTAGGGAAAGAATGAGAAAAAGTTAATCATTATTAAAAGAGCTAAGAAACACAGAAACTAAACAGAAATAGCTATGTGACTGACTGCCTGGAAAAGTTCTGATCTGATGCCCAAGCATAATATACGGACACCAAACACAGCCTCTGTCACAAGGTGTACACAAAAGAAATATTTGTTGAATATAAATTACTGAGTACCCCACAGGTCTCATTTCTCCAGAGAACCAAAGAAGTAAAGTACTTCAAAGAAGTAAAGTTCTATTCTAATCATTATCAGAATAGAACCCCTGAGGGCTCAGGCCTTGAAGTGAGGGCAAAAGAAAGAAAAAGGGTTACATAACAAGAAATGTAAGGAAAGGATTATACAATAATTAAAATACATGGTCTATTATAAAACTGAATGGCCTTTGTATCAATGGATTAAATTTCTTCCAAATATCTTCAAAGAAAATGTTTTCCTCACCTGAGGAAATAGTATGCTAAAACTAAAGAAAAACACAAGAAAGAAAACAATTCTCCTTTTTTTTTTTCTTAGACTGTCAGAAACCATGATTGAGGTAGTGTTCAATTATAGTATTTATTTAAATCCTAGTAATTATATTTCTTTATAAGGTTTTTGTTGTTTTATATATTTATTCCATACTGCTATATGAAATTTACTATAACATAGCTCAAAATAGGCAACTATACATTTTAAAATAACAAAACATAATGATTACCTACATCTGATTCCAGTATACATTAAAATGATGGATGAAAGGAGGAAGGGAAGAAGAAAGAGAGAAAGGAAAGAAGGTTGTTGTTTTTAAGTAAGGAGAATATAAAGTAGGAAAATTAAGTTACATTTAATGGTTTTACTGCATAGCTATCCATAAGTAAATTAAAAATTGGCTATATTAGAAAATGCATAAATAGTTATAACTACCTCGTGTTAGATCTGGTTACTTTGGCATTCTCAGTATTCATGGAAAGTGCCTTCCACTGTGCAGTTTTGGCCATTTCATCTGATATGTTAACAACTGAGGGATCAACACTGAAGAACAAATATACTTTTTGGTTAGTATTCAGTACTTGCAAAAGCATTAATATTGTCATACTTATCATCTATAGAATTATTTGCTTTCATCAACTTAAAATTGAGAAAACCCTTGCCATGCACTTAAAGGTCTAGCAAGTTATCAGAATTTTGGAGTTCTGCTATCAAAACTTTTTGGAGAATTATATCTTTCTCTATAATCAAAAATAGTGTTTTTAAATTGAGTTAGCAGGACATATTTATGAAACTGCTTCGAAATCTGATTTGGGGCTTCAGCAGTACTCCAGTAATAACGATGCCCTCTGATCATCTTGGCTATAAGTATACTACTGAAATACCATAGGATATATTAATGTGCATATAAATATAAAAACTACAGGTTCGAATCAATTAGAAACTTTTATAATTGGCACAAATTTAATCTTATCAAATAAATATTTAAAGTATGTAAAAAAATTAAGATTATGCTTAAAAAAATCTTGTTCTACATAGCTTTTACAAATAATTAAGAATGCTCAGAAAGGTAACACTTTAAAATGAACCGAAGCTCTCTGAAAATACTTCAATAGGTAACACAAAACAACCTCATAAATACCAATTTAAACTGACATTCACATATTTAGCATTGAAGTGTTATTTTATCAAATTTACCAAAATCAAAAGAATAGAATACTATCCATTTATTACAATAAGGGACAAATGTCAACGTTTTATGCTTCTATGAAATATTACAAAAAATTACGTCAAGACCCAAAATCCAATAATGATGATATAGATAAATAATTAATTTGGGGCTCAAATTTGTCAGTCACAAGTAATATGAAAGTATCGTAAAGCTAATAGCAATATATTTGCAAGTCCTTTTCCTTCACCAATAGAAAAACATTCATGCAAATAAGCTATAAATACAAATGATTAAATAATGTTAAATTAACACTGTGATGGCAGCTAGGTTATAAAGGACTTCACAGCAGTCATTTAGAAAGTGCTAGCTAGCTCTGTTCACACTTAAAATCTGAATGTTGTTTAAAATTTAAGACTGCAAAGAAGTGTGACATGGTCATTCAAAAGTCTCCATGAATGGCTGCTTTACCAAGTCAATTTTTTAAAAATAAACAAAATTTGAATGCCCAAGTTCATAATGGCAGAACCATACAACTTGAAACTCTGCCTACCCTGAGTAAACTTTTATTCATTTGGTTGTCAACTTCAAATAACTGAAGAAAGAATTCCTAAAAAACTTTCTAGCTTCTAAACATTCTCCTCTAAGGAGAGCTTTTCCATTAGTAGAAATTAACCACTTTTTTAAAGAAGGTATTTATTTTGTTTTCCCCCAAAATAAAGCTAGATGGGAAAAACTCTGCCTTATATAAATTATATAAATTATTTTCATATTTTACAGGACTTTATAGTTTCTGAATACTTTCATATATTATCTCATTTGATCTTCATGGCAAGTAATCCAAAGCTATTTAAGATATAAAATTCTGGCAGATAGCCAAGTTAACCATTTCCTGGCATTCTTAATGTTAAAATTTTAAGCATAGAACCATTAATCATGGCTCATGTCAGCACTTAAAAGACAAAAGGAAAACTAGAGATAGATAGCCATTCTTTTTGTTAAATATCAGACAATATAGACTCCACTTAAATTTGTCAAGGTCCATGTATAATCACACTAAGAAAGTGATAAAGCAGGATAGAAATTAAGTGGCAAAGGGAGCATGTACTTCCTGATTTCCTAAAGGCCATATTCCTCTCCCAATCCCCAGGAAAAAAAAAAGAGAAATTAAGTGGCAAGTACTCTCAGCAAATTGGTGATAGTTACTAATAATCATGGCAGTTTCTATACTTTTTTTATAAAAGTACATCAACGAAGTTAATGTATTAATTCATTTAACAAACATTTATAGAACCTAGCAAAGCAAAGCACTATACAGCTACATATATTAAAATTCTATACTTGGCATTTAAAGTGTATAAAAATTTGAGGGAAAATCATGAAAGGTGACACAAAATAATACCAACAACAAAAATTACTAGCAAAAGTATAGAGGAAAATTAGGATTAATTCATTTGTCACAACTAGCAACATGTTCAAGTCCAAATGTGACCTCTGTAAAAACTATAAAGAATAGTTTAAAAACATTTTTAAAGGTTGAAAAAAGTTAATTAAATACCAACAAACATTTTCCATCAACTGGTCAGGAAAGGAACCCATATACATTCTAAAACCTATCTCTCTACTCTAAATAGCTAATCAGAAATGAAACATATATAGAAATAGGAATAGGGTCTGTATATAAATACAGATTATTAACCTCTTAAAGCTACAAAAAAAGTCTGCATTTCCCTCTGTATCTTTAGTTCTTAAATTTAAATATAAATCACCAAAATCATGTGATAAATTATACATGAAACATTAATAATTTTTCCATAATATAAGCCTTCACTGCCAATGGTCAAATCATACCTTTGGAAACTAGGAGAGTTTTAGGGTCTCTAAACATAATTACATATTAGAAGGCTATCAGAAAATAGATTACTGGTATCTGATTGGCTAATGATATGGATTACTGAAAATGTTTATTTTATATCACACATTGACCCAAGCCCTAATGAAGAGCAAAAAGGAAAGAGCTATATTATTTTTAGACTCATGTACTGATTTTAAACTTTACAAAGACATAGACCAATGGAATAGAATAGAGAACCCAGATATACATCCACTATATAGATATATATCCATATATAGTGATCTTATCTTTGACAAAGGTGCCAAGAACATATAGTGAGGAAGGGACAGTCTCTTCAATAAATGGTGCTGGGAAAACAGGATATCCATATGCAGAATAATGAAATTAGACTCTTATCTCTTGCCATATACAAAAATAAAATTAAAGTGGACTAAAGATTTAAATCTAAGACCTGAAACTATTAAACTACTAAAAGAAAACATTGGGGAAACACTTGAAGACATTGGTCTGGGCAAAGACTTCTGGAGTAATACGCCCAGGGCACAGGCAACCAAAACAAAGCTGGACAAATGGGATCAAATCAAGCTAAAAACTCTGCAAAGCAAAGGAAACAATCAACAAAGTAAAGAGACGACTCACAGAATGGGAGGAAATATTTGCAAAGTACTCATCTGACAACTGATTAATAACCAGAATATATAAAGAGCTCCAACAACTCAATAAGAAAAAAATAATCCGATTAAATAATGGGCAAAAGATCTTAACAGACATTTCTCAAAAGAAGACACACAAATGGCCAATAGGTCCATGAAAAAATGCTTATCATTAGTCATCAGAGAAACGCAAATCAAAACTACAATGAGATATCATCTCACCCCAGTTAAAATGGCTTTTATCAAAAAGGCAATAATGAATGCTGGCAAGGATGTGAAGAAAAGGGAACACTCATAACTGTTGGTGGTAATGTAAATTAGTGCAACCACTATGGAAAACAGTATGGAGGTTCCTCGAAAAACTTTTAAAAATAGGACTATCAGCAATCCCAGGTATATATCCAAAGGACAGGAATTCAGTATATTGAAAAGATAACTGCACTCCCATGTTTATTGCAGCTTTATTCATAATAGCCAAGATTTGGAATCAACCTAAGTGTCCATCACCAGATGAAGGGATAAAGAAACTGTGGTACATATGCACAATGGAATACTATATAGCCACAAAAAAGAGCGAAATCTGCCATTTGCAACAACATGGATGGAGCTAGAGAACATTATGTTAAGTGAAATAAGTCAAGCACAGAAAAACACATCTCCTATGTTCTCACTCATATGTGGAAGCTAAATGTTAAAAAACAATTGATCTCATGGAGATAGAGAGTAAAATGATGGTGACCAGAAGCTGGGAAGGGTAGCAGGGAGTGGGGCATAAAGTGGGGATGGTTAATGGATGCAAAAATTAGTTTGATAGTTAGATAGAATGAACAATATTTGATAGCACAACACAGTGACTATAAACAAGAAATCAGTGTATACTTTAAAATAACTAAAAGAGTAAAATTGGAATGTCCGTAACATAAAAAAACATTAAATGCCTAATGTGATGGATACCTCAATTACCCTGATTTGATTAATTCACATTGTATGTCCGTATCAAAATATCACATGTACCCTATAAAGATATGCAACCACTATGCATTCATAAGAATTAAAAATAAATGTAGGCATGTGTGTATATGTATGTGTGTATATATGTATATGTGTATATATGTGTGCATGTATACACACGCACACACAGAGAAATGCAAATCAAAACTGCAATGAGGTATCATCTCACCCCAGTTTAAATGGCTTTTATCAAAAAGACAGGCAATAACAAAT